TAATAACACTTTAAAATCTGTTCGTTCGCATTAAGTCTTTGTATCCTTTTTTTCTTAGGGGATGACTTTTTAAAATAAAAAATAAAATAAATATGCTCCCTATTTTGCAATCGATTGGGAAAGTCTATTTTCAGCTACGGATTTCTGGCGATCTAAATAGAAAAAAAAAGTCGTAAACAAATGATTTATTTCGGTTCGACCCAAAAAATATTTCATTTTATCAAAATTTTCATGTTATCAAAACGTTACATCTCAAAGAAGCCGAGTATGTGCCAACCATTCTCAGATTCCGATATAACAAATTGTTCGCCATTAATCTCTGGACCCAGCCACATTAGTAAAATATATGAGCGCCTAACAAAGAAGAGTTATACGGCCTGTTTTATCAATATTCTTTGCATTTTTTGTTGATGTTGGAAGTCTTATATACATATTATATTGTATATAATATTAAATAAATTTTAATATTTTTCTAAAAATTAAGCAATGATGATCATTTGGGTCATGTAACGATCACAATTTTCGTAGAATTGAATAACTGAATTAATTTTTTCACACATGCATTAATTTATTCAATCCTTCGTTCATTAATTCGTACATTATAAAATCATAATTAAATTAACTCAGTCATTCAAAGCCCGACATCTCGCTGCTGCGGCGGAAGTGTCAAATGTACGAGACGCCGACTTCTGCCATCGTCATCCGCTAGTCAAGTGTGACGATAACATCAAATCTTTCCTTCAATAACGTTGGTCCTCATAAAGCAGTAGACTTTTATGGGATGGTAAAGGAGATCTAAATATGTAGCTAATAATGGTTCGCCGTTAATGCAGCAGAAACACTAGTTTCAATTTTTAACCTTCTATTACACTCATTAAGGCATTTAAAAGTCCACTGCTGAATACATGCATAGATTGCCTCATTGGGGGTACTTTTCCACAGTTGTCACTTTTATTCTATTTAGAGTTGTCGAAAGAAATATGATGCTGCCTATGTTATGTTTCAGTTTGGCTCTGTTACTTCTTAGAAATCCACTGGACGATATGGGGTAGTCGATATTCTTACACCGCCATGACATAATTGAGATATAATAGGTCCTTAGATATAGAATTGGGGTTTTGTACGGGAGGAATATAAAGTCATTTTTTTTTGTAAAATATGGTAATTAATCAAAGTATGCACCGTTGTTATCTATGCATTTTGCCATCTTATAGGTAGTTCGTTGAAACCTCCACTTTTTTATGGTTTCCGCCGGTGGGTACACCCCCACCGATAGGACTATATTGGCAATTTTGTTCACTTTTTAAATATTTTTTTTACTTATTATATGACACATGGAGAAGGCTACGCGTTTCTGCTATTTGATACACATTGCGTATGACTTCTCTTTATATTAATATAATTAGTTAAGAGTTTGAATTTTTTGAAAATAGTTATTATTCTAATAAAATTATCATTTGGTTAACATAAATATTCTTGTGTTTTCGTAGTCCTATCAAAAAAGAAAAACAAGAGTGATAAAAATATAAAAAGAAAGAATAAAATTCATTAAATACTAGAAACAAAGAGTAATCTTGACTCTAAGCAACAACTATAATATAATAGACAATAGTGTAATAAATTAGTATAATGACAATAATATAATAAAATAATACGTGTGGCACTCGGTGACTGCTGCGGTAAAGCTATTGCGTAGCATTTTTATCAACTTATGCAATTATAATTATTTATTTATTTTATTTATGCAGTTAAGTCTTTGATATTAAATCAAGTTACACTTTTTGAGCGTGGTGACCGATAACAAAACAATTTTTTTTTCTCTTATTGAATAAATAAGAAGTTAATATTGTTTAAAATATTTTTAATATCTTACAATACATGTAGGTTATTCAGGAATTATCATTGAGTTAGCAGCTAGTGTACACGTATACGTCTAGTCGCACGCACACAAACACCGTGCCGAACTCTGCCGAGTGCCGAAGTCTGCCGAACTGAAACGACGTTAGACGATGCACGGCTTTCAACGCCACACCTCCGTGCCCGTCGGAGTGGGGAGCGTGAGGTTTTTTCGTTACGGAATTTCTGGATTCGGTCCCCGCGCTCAAGGCCCGCGATAGAAGCTATGCAATAGCTTAAAAACCTAATTATAAAAATAAAGTAAAGTAAAAGTAAAGTAATATTAATTATAAACACAGACAGCGTTGTATAAAGACAGCAAAAAAAGGGAGGAAACAAACTAACAGTGTAATCTTAATTCTAGACATATATTATAATAACAGTGGATCAATAAAATTATATGATGACAATGAAATTAATTGAAATTAACAATCTTAATGAAAATTAAAATATTAAAATTTCAAAGGTTGATCTTAATTTTGATGATAATCAAACGTTTAACAATCACAACATATAATAATTATTAATTATATCTAATAGAATAAATAAAACAAATTAAAGAGAAGTGTTTGCTTAGTTACTATTTACAGATGCACAGTTTTTATTGAAGTTCTTAAGTCGTTAAAAATGTTATTAACAAATTGAATGAAAGAATCCAAAAGTAATTCCTTCTTCATTAATGTGGTTAAGTTAAATGGAGGAGCTCTTAAATTTTCATAAAGTATTACATGATTTAATCACTGAAAATGCACTGAAAATGCAGGGCAATGTTCAATGATATGTTCCAGCATTTGTGGGGTGACGTTATCACAAGGGCGATGATTATAGTAATTATTTTGTAGCGACAAAGATAAGCTTTGTGAAAACCGTGGTTGGTGAGCACCTGGATGAGGTAAAAACTAGGCTTGGTGATTGTGCGTAACTTCTCGATATCCTCCAGTGTTGGAAGCAGTCGTTTGATATGTTGGCCCTGCTCTGCACTATAATACCTAGCTTGCCAGGTAGCGCGATTTTGAGTTCTGATTGTGTGTTTGAGGTATGAAATGCAAAAGGCCAAGTAGTCAGATTATTTGCGCAACTTGGAGCCAGCATTCGCAGCCTTATCAGTTGCCTCATTGCCAGCTATGCCAGAATGACTCCTGACCCACTCCAATTCTATGGAGCCTGTTTCTCGGTACTCCATATAGTTTTGTGTATTTGTGTAATGGTGGGGTGTGTATTGCTTCTGTTTTGTATAGCTTATATAGATGAGATTGAATCTGTATACATAACTGTGTGTGTATATTTGTGTTCTTTGATCAACCTGCATGCCTGCAGAATGACAAAAAACTTCGCTTGGAATACTGTACTAGGCTGCACTAAAAGTATCGGGAATGGAATATTTCCACTATTCCTGTCATATTAAAATCTTTTTAATTGAAAATTTCTTGGTTTTAAAAATCTTATACCATTTATTTATTTAAAAAAAGATTCTCGGTCTTGTCACAAGGTTTTGTCAAACTTGTTTAGTCGTTGAGAAAATGGAATTGACTCGAGAAAATTCAAGAGCGATGATTTATTATGACTTTCGAAGTGGCTTAACACAAAAATAGTGTATTGACCGGATGATTTCTGCATTTGGTGATGAAGCCCCATCCAAACCACAATTTATCGCTGGTTTGCTGAATTTCAACGTGGACGTGTCAAGCTCAGTGATGATCCTCGTCAAGGTCGTCCAAAAACTGCAGTCACCCAAGAAAACGTTGATGCTGTGCGTAAGCTGATTGAGAAAGATAGACATGTGACATACCGCGAAATTCAGGCAACTTTAGACATTGGCATGAGTCAAATACAAATAATCTAGCATGATCAATTAGGTGTAAAAAAGTTGTTTTCCCGATGGATACCGCATTCGCTCTGTGAAGAGCAAAAAGCGGCTCGCGTTACTTGGTGCGTCAGAACTCTCGAAAGATTCTACGCAGGATCCTCAAATGCTGTATACAATATCGTATCAGGTGACGAATCCTGGATATACGCATGCGAACCCGAAACAAAAAAAAAAACATTCACGAGTTTGGGTGTTCGAAAATGAGTTAAAGCCAACAAAATTTGTTCGTTCACGGAGTGTTGCAAAAAAATGGTAGATTATTTCTCTTGTGGGACAAAGAACGGTTAATGCAGAATGGTATGCTAGCATTTGTTTGCCACAGGTCGTTTCTGAACTCCGTAAAGAAAACTGCAACCACCGCATCATCCTCCAGCATGACAATGCGAATTCTCACACCGCACACAGAACAAAAGAGTTTTAGAGCAAGAAAACATAGAATTATTAGACCATCCGCCGTACAGCCCTGACCTAAGCCCTAATGATTTCTATACTTTCCCTAAAATAAAGAATAAATTGCGTGGACAGAGATTTTCATCACCTGAAGAAGCTGTGGACGCCTACAAAACGGCCATTTTGGAGACCCCAACTTCCGAGTGGAATGGTTGCCTCAATGATTGATTACATCGTATGGAAAAATGTGTCAAATTTCGCGGAGAATAATTCGAATAGCAATAAATACATTTTTAAATAGCAATGTTGTGTCACTTCCTTGATTCCCGAAATTTTCAGTGCCGACCTCGTACACATGTTGTACAATTTAAACTTCTTTATGTAACCTAAGCCACTTGATTTAGATTAGTAGGGAGATAGCCCACGAAAGCGGCTTCCACTGCACCGTCTTTCTGCTTACTACCGTCAGTGAATATAAAATGTATCGTCTGTTCAAATGCAGATCCCGTTGATGTGAAGTTTGTAAATATTTTAGGAATAAAGGAAATACGTTGGGCAGGATGCAGGAGCTCAGAGACGGGAGTTGGTTTTTCTAGTGGGATGTCACTGGGGATGTAGTCAGAGGTACCCGGAAGCCGAGCCCTTTCCATAGCGCAAACTTCCCACACTTTCAGGTCAAGAGGCATAAAGTAGACTAACGTGAGGGCCGCGGAGGAAGATACCGTGCGGAATCCCCTAATAGCCTTAATGACAAATCCGCGCTGCGTGCTCCCTAGTGCCCTCCTGATGCACCTTTTCTGGGCAACGTGTCCCCAAATTCCAGCAGCGTAGGTGATATTTGGCACGATCACTTGCTGGTAAATGGTACTGATGTTCTCAGAATGGGCTCCCCATGTGAGTCTCGAGTACATACAACGTGTGTTGAAGTTTGTGTGTGTTTCCAAAAGTTTAGTTTTTCGTCAAACATGTATCCCAACAGTATAACCTCTGGCACAAAGGAAAGACGGTGTCTGTCCATGTTAATTCTGGCTATCTTAGCCTTGCGAGCGAAGGCAATGAGCTTAGTTTTAGTGGGACCGAAATCCAGCTTGAAGCTCCTTCCCCACCGGTAGAGAGCTAAGTTGGCAGCGTTCTCCAGCTCGCCGACACTCGCGGCCGTAACAACCAGCAATAAATCATCTGCAAAAGCCTGTATGTGGCCGCCCGCTGAAAGCCTCGCATAAAGCAGCTTGTCTAGTATGATATTCCAGAGAACAGGGCAACACGTGGAACTTTGTATGCAGCCCTTATACATTGTCTTGGTGACTCGCCTCCCCGCATAGTCGAGGATGACTTCGTGATCGCGGATATAATCCTGGATAAGTCCAAAAAGTGTTATAAGGGCATTTGATATGCCGCAACCGGTGGGAGAGTGCAGGCAACAAAGCGTTGTCGAAGGCTGCTTCAATATCTAGAGATATCGCGATGTTGGGGTGTTTTTCTGATTTGGATAATTTAATTATTTTAAGAGCTGCGTTAATGGCTTTGCACGTGTTTGTCTGTTCCCGGAAACCGAACTGAAATTTGTCAGTTCATTGTTTCGCTGCGTGTGGTATACGACCGTTTTAATAAAAAGCTTTTCCAACAGTTTGCCAAACACAGATAGAAGTCCTATTGGACGAAAGTCCTAGTCGGACTAGCCTGGTTTCGGGATAATCTTTACATATGCTGTTTTCCACTGATCAGGGAAGTGTTAAAGTGTAAGACAACGGTTCAGAATATCTGTCAGAAGTCTAGGATAATCTGATGCAAATTGCAGACATATGTCGGATGTGAAGTTATCAAGTCCGGAAGCCCTCTTGGGGTTAATTTGTTTTAAGAACTCTAATACCTCCTCCTGCGTGAAGAGAGGGTCATCATGGGACTGACGAAGGTCGGTCATTTCTGATCTGAGCTCGTGATGTTGCATTGAGGTAGTAGAAGTGGTCAAGGAGTGCCTTGGCAGTCTCCTGGCTGTCTGTGGTGTTGGTGGAGCCCCTATTGTGGGTGACTGCGCATTGCGCCAACACTATAAACCTAAGTATCTATTTCAATATTTAAATTTTACTTCATCCTGTTGAGTAATGTGTGTTCTGAGCGCAAGCGACACAGCTCTCCGGTTTGAAAGCAGAAGCGAGAGTGAGCGGCGGTGTCGTGCGGCGGGGAACAAACTTTAAAACGTCAATAGTTTAGGTAATTTTTTTTTTACGGTGAAAATGATGATAATTATAAAAAAGTAAAAAACATAAGCCCTGCTTTATAGTTAGTTCAGTTAGTATGCAAAGTATTACGATCTGATTTGAAGTATTTCTATAATACCAGCGGTTTATAGTTCGGTTTGGAGGTAACTTTGGATTTTTCCTATCGAGAAAATTTTCGTCTAACATAGTACTTAGTATTAGTCCTCAAATTCAACATATATGTATTTTAAAAATATTGCTGTAGTGTTCTGAGTGACAACTAAAAGACGACTGCATACAGACTAAATATTCTACAAAGGCAGTGCTTAATTGCAACTAAAGCTATGCGATCATCGCCTGGAGCGGGTCTTAATGCACTTCTATGCCTAACGACCCTTAATCTTTCTCTAGACAAGGAGGCGAAGGCTAATTTATATAGAATTAACGCTCAGGCCGGTCTGAGCGTGCTCTTCTATAGATCGATATCCATGCTCTACTTAACTAAGGAAACACAGGATCTCAGATATCATTCATTCACTATACACTTTTGATAAAAAGTATATAGTGGAACAAACCTCTAGAGAAAACTGGCTGAATGACCAGGTTATCTGTGATATTGTTAGCTTAATATGGTATACTGATAAGTTTAAAATGGGCCTGAATTTGGGTAGATTCACCTCTATCTTCCTGACAGAAAATTTCGACATATTTCAGTGTGCGGAAATCAATCTGCAAAAGCATTTCGTCAACCACATAAACTCTGAAAAAATATATTCAAGCAGTACTGCTAGCGCTGTAGTCAAACTCAGTGAACTCAAAGCTAGTTAGAGAGAGCGTGAACCATTTAAGCGCCCTGAGATGTAATAACAGGGTCGTCTTAAGATGCGTTTCGGGTCTTGTAGGTTATTGTAGGTTATTGTAGGCAATGAATTTGCCGGCAAACTTGCATAGGAGAGCTCAAAGAGTACACAATTTGGATCTGATACATTTTGTGGAATCTAAAGAAGCCTAGCCCGATTGATCTTTGAAAATCTCTATCACAGTAAATCACTTAAGATCTGGTCTGACACACTAGGTTTAAAACATTTTAAAACCTTAATCCGGGCTTTCGAAGTCCTGGGATTAAGTAAAAATAAATTGCGCATTCTAGCAAGAGCCCTATTTTGACACTGTTGTCTTAAAAAGTACATGTCCATCCTGGGACTAAGCAAATCAAGGATGTGTCGGTTCTGTTTTATAACGGAAGAAAAGCATGTGCATATCCTGATTGCGGACACTTAATGCGCAAGGTAACATTTATCGCGTAAACTAAAAGAAGTGAAATTGCTCACGGCTAAGCAACTCCTTCTTTTCATCGAAAAAATAGGGCTTAGCAATGAACCATAGCCATAGCAGCGATCACAATAGATCTCAGTTGCAGTGATACTGGTCTCTTTCCCTAGATCTGCATAGCTGCTAGCACATAATGAATTAAATTACCCCGGTCAATCCAAGTAACTTTGACTGTTATCTACTTTGAATCTGTTTTTTTGAGTCGGAAAAACCTAAAGAATAAGATCTTCCAACGGTTGTATTTAGTTAAATAAATCATTCATCGTATATATATATATATATATATATAATATCACGTAAGAATATTTAACTGATTTCAATATAATTTTGCACACTGTGTGCAGTTTGGTCCAAATAGTGAGATAGGATAGTTTTTACGCCAATAAATAACTCTCGATGTATATTATTACGAATCTAATGATTTTTATATGACAAACGGTCGTCGAATAGGGCAGAAAAACGTCTGCATGGCCAGCTAGTATATATATACTTAACAGCATTAATGAAGAAGGAATTCCTTTTGGACTCTTTCATTCAATTTGTTAATAACATTTTTAACGACTTAAGAACTTCAATAAAAACTGTGCATCTGTAATTTTGTAGAATTTTTATATGAACCAGCATTGCAGCGATTATAGTGTTTTTTTTTTTTCATTCATGTATTTCTTTTCTTACAAAATACACATTTTGTAGTTTATCTTCAATTACATTTTGAATCTTGTTTATTGACAAACTTTCAACATTTTCTGGGACTTTGTTGTCGAAAATTATATACATTGTCCTATAAATATATCTTATTCTTATCAAAGCACTTCATGTTTTCATGTAAATATGTTGCATATTCATTAATATGTTGCGATGTTTGCGCTACGATGTTTAACTCTTTAACTTTTTTTTGAGAGACTACAATTTAAGTTACAAATATTCCGTATAGGTATAACGAGGGCAGTGCAACTTCTATGAAACAAATATGGCTTCAACATCAGTCGCGTTACCTCATAGAAATTTCATAAGATATTACGATATGGAAGTAACTAAAACAAACTTATCTGGCTATTTCAACGTTGGTGAAAATTCTTATCTTTCTTACAGCATATGCTGCGGAGCTAAGTCCGCTTGCTTATTTAGATATATGGGAGCACCACTAAAACACCACGTCAATAATTATACTCAAAAAAATTTTGGAAAAAAAGTGCACAACTCACACGATTATAATTTTAAGAATTAAAACTAAAACAGAAGAAAATAGTAACGATAAGTTTTATAAGAAAAGAAGAACAAAGAATCTGATCGACTCATTAATAACTTTTAAACGGTACAATAACAAAAATCAATAGGGAAACTCAGAATATATGGAATTTTATTTAATGATGTATATCTCAATCTATTCTATTTTTTATTCAATTAATTTTTTTGTATGTTATCTTAAGTGAATCAATTAGAAAATAAACTTATCATATAATTCATATATGTCTGTAGTTATTGTAAAATCAATAATGATATGGATTTGATATCTAGCTAAAGTATATGAACGAATTTATAGAATATACAGTATTTATAGCGAAATTGAGGTATGGCCACATATTGAGAGCTAAGCACTCTCTCACGTTGTAATGCAAACAAAACAATGCAATCCACAAGACTTAAAACTTATTCTTCTCAACGCCTTTCCATTTAGGAGCACATTGTAAATTTTATACTTTTGTTTTGTAGCCATTTTAAAGCAAATAACCGGCGTTAAACCAATGTTATAACTAAAATAGAGCATTATTCACATCGGTTTAATATAACTATTGCAGTTAGAGTTTAAACACTAATGATATATCCTTAGCAAATAATACAATATGGAATGGTTGTCCCACAAATTTTATAATCCATCAATAATTGTTTTCTTTTTTATTACGCTTTATACGCCACACTAGGATTATCTCATGTATCGTGCCATTTGTTTATATATATATATATATATATATATATATATATATATATATATATATATATATATATTATTTCACGAAGATAAATAACCAGATCCGGAACAATTATTATTTGTAGGCCATTCAAATGATTGTAAGCTGCGGTCTTCAGCGTGCTAACTCAATGATAAGCTGCTTCGCCACAGAGCCGTCATCAGTTTGGTAGTTTGCAATCTACCAATGAGCGTTACTCAAGGGCATTTTTGCTAATATCTACCACATTGTAAAATTTAAATTCCAAAGAATTATGATACGACCTTCCAGAAAAACTTTATTTCATTCCAAATGACTGATACTTAAATGATTTATCTACAGATGGGCTACATGCTTGTTTGCCATATACAAAAAATCTATATCGATTTAGACAGTGTTGAAAAATTTTATTTTCTGGTTCGTATTTTTTTGAAATCTTTATCATACATGGAAAATGTTTGCCCCGAACGAAATGACTACTAATTCAACGTTAATTACGTAAATTAATCAAATAAGAACTTCTTTCTATTTCTGAAGGAGCCTAATATTTTATTTTGAAGTAAGCATAATTCGTATAAGAAAAATTACAAACAAAAAAAGTAGAAAAACTGTAATATTTGTTCAGCTTTTGTAAGTTCCTGGGTCACCTTTAGCCTTTTTACTTCCTTCAAACTGTATTGCATAAGCTATCATCCCTAACGCCTATTTCCGAAGTTATACGACTTTCCTGTGACAAAGAAATTCCTTTAAAAGCGCTCCTACTAAAAGCTATATCACGTAATATATTAAGCCCCTTCGACTTTTTTACAAAGCTCAGCACACTGTATAATAACCTCCTTGCGTTTCTTAAAAATATGAAACGTAAAACTGCATGTTTATTGTTTATCTTTTTTGATAAAAAAGCAGCTGCTTGTGTGTTAGCTTTGGGAATAAGCTTTCACTTTTTTTTTTGAAAACTTTAGTATCATAGAAGTTACAGTACACCCAATGTTAAGGGGCTACTACATCTCGTAGGTAACATACCAACTTTAAACAAAGAATGGTAAAGATTTTTTGTTATCCCCGACTGTTAAGGTAGAGCTTTATCTAACCAGAGGAGCTTCTAAGCAGAAATTAAAGCCGACCAATCTGGTTTGTAGTACGAAAACAAGAAAAGGTCAATACCAGTAGGTACCAAGGAAATAATTTAAGAAAATTATGAGCCCTAAGTTAAAGCCAAGGCCGAATTTCAGTTGTGCCAGCCAATCTAGGGCACTAGCTATTGGCGCAGGACAGACCTATTGTGCACGAGTGTGTGCTTAAGCACACCTGGGCACACCATTCTCTATTCCTATAGTAAAAAAGGTTAGTTTACGGTCTCGTTGGTCTAGTAGTTGTAGTAGTGCGGCTGCTGATTATGAGGTCCTCGGTTCGAATCCCGGGTCGGGCCAAAAATCAATTATTGAGTTTTTCTGTCAAGAAATTCTCAGTAGCTGCCCGGAGTCAGGAAGTTGGCGGTATCTTACCCCCATGTCTCGGAAAGCACGTAAATCCGTTGGTCCTACGCCTGATCTCTCTCCGATCGTGTCGGTTTACCGTCCCATCGGATTATGAGAGTGAGGGAACAGAGAGTGCACCTGTGCTTGCGAATATACTTAAGCACTTTGTTCCTGTCCTACGCCGATGGCTAGCCTCCGTTGAGGCAGACCGCTGTGGCCGAAATTCGGTCTAGAGGGCATTATTATTATTAGTACAAAAATAAGGTAATTTGATATAAACGGGTAATTATCAGGCACATGAACTACGACATTACGTGTTTTCCGAGGCTTGGTGTATGTAATACCGACAAATTCCTGATTCCGGACTACTACTGAGAATTTCTCAACAAAAAAGCTAATAAATGATTTTCGGCTCGGCACGAAATGAAACTCGGGACCATATGAATCGCGCTTTCGACCATTGTAAAAGAAAGTCAGTGCTAATATACCACTAGAGTTAATTTATAACGTACGCGGCGGTAAAGAAAAGCATCGTTAGAAAATCTACATGTTTCACTTTACCACCGAGTACATTGTAAAATACGTTAAATTACAATTTATAATATAAAATTAAAAGCGTTATTGTAATGCGAAAAGTATTGAACGACACTTGCCGACAGAAGCTGACAAGTACTTTTTAAGCTACTAACACTGAAGGGGCGGTCGCAAGATAAGAACACGCCTGAACATTACAATTAAAGTTTAAGACGGAACTAAATAAATGTATTTTGGAAAAAGAATTCGTTGTTGTATTAAACCAACTACGATTTTGAATTTAGGTTTTTCTACTTTTTGTCGTATAATACGACTAATTATAATATAATCCCAACCTGTTTCAGCTAAGGTGATTATTGCTTATAGTCTCAATCAATAGAGCTTCGGTGGCAAGTTCTGGCGTGTCTTATGTGACCAACTCTTGCTTTGTATGCGTATATTGCACACATGAGAGGATGATACTTACGTGATAATAAACTATGTTAGTTGGTAGTCTGATCTTTATTCCTTCGCGCATGGCATCCATTTCGTTTCTTCATTAATTCTTGAAAACGTGTTTGGACTGTTTAGCTAATTCACGTTATTTAATGCGGTTCTCAGCCAGTAATAAAATGATTATATTTGTATCCATCCAACATATATGAAATCTTTATAAAATTTGCCTGCTGTCTTTTAAAACACTTTCGGATCGAAAAAATGTATTTGACATTAGTGAATCCCCTTATTTTCTTATTAAAAATGAAAACAAACCTAATATTTGAAACAGTACTTAAAAGTAATCTGACTACGAAAAAAGTTAACTGGAAAGAGAAAAAAATTATATACCCTATGTCAGTACTTTCAAACCTGCCGCGGATCGAGATCTCCAGACAGCTCGTTAAGTTTTACTCAGTGCATCACTAATTAATCATAACATCATTAATAAATTAAACTGTCTCTGTTACATAGCGTGCCAAATAAATGGGTATACGCACATATAATCGAAAACCATCACTCTTTTTCTGCGGTAGTTGGGTAAAAAAACGTTATAAAACACCCCCGAGTTTCTTGCCAGATCTCTAAAGAAGTCTAACCTTATACAATGGTAGTATATTTTAACGTTGAGAAAGCTTCTTATAAGTCAAAAAAAGTTTAAATTTAATTTCGACAAAGGTTTGTGCTTTTGCCAAAGAATTAATTTATTTCCGGTGCTCTACTGATGATGTAAGAGAATTGGAAATTTCGGTAACGATAAATCAAATTTTCATAATGCTGCTATTAAAATATTGGTTTATTGAATTGCAAAATGCATTTTATCAATTATTTGTCGCATTGCATTCAGTGAAATTTCAAGCGCAGTTGTGATAGTTTTAAGTCGAAACGTAATAGAAATTGGGTTAAAATACTCGTAGTACGCGTTACACTAAACAGTATTATATTTATTTTCAATGAAAATTGTCAAATTAAGTTTACCCACTTTAGTTTTTATACTTTATTTAAAAGTGGGGCTAAAATAGTAATATTGTACGTCCGCCCTGCTGAAGTATATTATGGAGGTAGCAAGAATGGGTTGACTCGACCAAAATAAGCCACGCCGTCACGGAATACCAGCTTAAAATAGAAGTAATAATTATTTTAAATAGTAAGCAACGCTCATTTGAGTCCGTTTTACTAGTAACGAAGTATTCCTTGTAAGTCATTAGGGGTGGGCTCTATGTGCCACAGTATCCACTTACCACCAAGAAGTTTGTGCCCACGTTTAGCACTCTTTGTCTATAAAATACGCCCTTGTAATAGAATTAATTGCGTTCGAGAAATCTGGATCCAGGAAGTAATTATCACATTGACGTTATATTCTTGACGCTGAAAATTTTAAAACTTCTTTACTCTTTTGCTGAAATTGTTTTTATGCCTAAAGTTACGCAATATAACATTAAGGTTTATAGTTAATACATGCTTCTTAATTTTATTAATCAGCCTGTAAACTTCCACTGCTGGAACTGTGCCTTTGACGATGGAAAAGGCAAAAAAGGCCGGCAATGCTTTTGCAATTCCCCTGGTGTTGTTACCTGGTGGTGGTATATACAGTTTTGCCCTTATTATTACGCTTAACAAGGGTTGATACACAATACCAGACGTTTTGCATCCTTCACAATACTTAGGTACCGTTGTCCGCCCAGGTATTTTACGCCCAGGTTAAACGAGTTGACCGTACAGTGGCGGTGTAAGAGTATCCACTACTCCATGTTGTCCCGTTCGTGTCGTAAGACTCGATATAGGGAAACAAATCAGGAGATGCGCAGCAGCATATTTCTAATAACGAATTAAAATAGAAAACTGCGATTGCGAACCCGCTTGCCAAGCCTAACAACTATAGCAATTATGAGGCAATCAATGGGGGTGACTTATGTTTAGCAGTGAAATTCAATAGGCTATATCAATATCGGCATCGGTTAAAAAAAGATGACTTCACTTTTATATATTGAAAACCCAGCACTAGCTCTTTTTAAAGTTATAATAATATTAACATTATTTTACTGATTACAAATTAATTGACAGTGAAATTTAACATCCAGGAATTCATCACCACTTACACCACACAAAAAGTACAGTAAGAAGATGTGGTAATGCGCTAGCCATATAGCTAGAAGAACCGGCAACTAGTGGGGGTGAAAGTAATGTCTTCAAACGATGGCCTCGTACTGGCAAGCAAAGTGTTGAGCGGCACTCCACTAGATGAAGTGACGATCTCGTAAGAAATTCAAAAACTCGATACATGTAGATGGCTTAGAACTGTGTTGGGTTGTAGGACTTGTGATGAGCAATAATGATGATGATGATATAACATTTATTATTATTAATTAACTATTGCTTAAAATTTATTTTATTTCTATTATCATAATATAAATGAAATAGTAAGAACTATACAAAACACAAACAGTTTAATACTGTTTGTGTTTTGTATAGTTCTTACAACAAGAAAACAACAACAACAGGATATCTCATTTACTGTTAGGAAAAGGTAAATAAAAGATACATTGAATTTAGGTTTTTCTTCAACTCCGATACAAAATTTATTGGGGAAGGAAATGTTACTTCGCTTCGTAAGTATATTAAAAATTAAAGATGTTACCACTTACGACTTGAAATTTATTTTTGAACTCCTCGCCAAGGAAAATAAGAATTTTGCTTTATTTCTGAAAAGACGGTAGCTATTGGTAAAGACTATGTAATCACTACGTTTAAAGAAGGAAAGAAAATCTAAACCAATGCAGTTTCTTTTTCATTTAAAGCTAGTTTCGAAGATCTAATAATATGAAGTCAAAATGGAATTTACGGCTTCTACAGCCCGTCGACGTCTGCAAACAATTCTAAACAAAGAATACTACAAACGCGTTATCACCCATGAAGACTAAAGTAGAATGTCTCACGGCGTAAAATTATAATGGCACTAATATTTGGCGGGAGAAAAAGGTAAGAGAGTGGCACCTAAGCAGTTGTACTAATAGGCTGAAGAGAAATTAAACCACATAGCAAATGTTAAACTTTTTCTTTTCAATTGCGCCTTTTTTAAATCTACTATAAGGGCAGCATATACATATTTTCCATAGCCTTGTAACATGTCAGAGGGAAATATGCCAAGAAATAAATAGGCAGCAACATATTCTTAATAAAAAAGTGCTACTATTGCTAACCCGCCTCCAAAGATGAAAAAGTGAGTGCATTATCTTTATATATAAAATTGTGGGTCTAATTATTGTTTGTCCACGATGAATTCCTGAACTACTGAACTGATTTAAATAAAATTTTGCACACAGTGTGCAGTTTGGTCCAATTTGAGAGATAGGATTTTTTATGCTAATAAGTGACCGTATTTTTTTTGCAAATTTAAGATTTTTTTATTGGTTAAAGACAGAAATGGCAGACAAACGTCTGCCTGGTTAGCGTTTTATATTTCCTGACATGGGTTATATTTTCCACAGCTGCCACGCTTGCTAGATTGATTGCCAGCCGCAGTTTTTTTTAGATGCTATCAATAGAGGAATAAGATGCTGCCACTACACGGTGATGTCTGAATCACACCAAATAGTAAATACTACTTATATTTTACAACTAACATTCAAACCAACATTTAATTATTCCGACAACAGCGTAAAGAGAATTTTAAGTATTAAAATTTGGATAATATCACTTTGAAAACAAAATGTTAGCTGTTCCATTTTCATTTATTTCAACTACAAATAACATTATTCACTGTCTTGTCTCACCCAATAGCAGTAATTAAGTGTAACAAGGGGTCAAACATTGTTTATCCCGATGACTCACGGGTTCATTTATCGGTTTTGTTAATAACTGCAGGCCGATTTCAATCGTATGATGAAAATTATTAATTAAGTGAAATACGTAATGTTAAGAAATAAAAAATTTGTTTGAGTAAAGTAGTTAAATTGTTTCACTTTTATATTCAATCGAGCTATAATTTAGATGATAAATATTATGAATATTTTATTAGTATCATGAACATCTGCTACTAACTTCAAACAAAAAGGCTACAGGTGCGTAGTCACTTCGAAAGACTAAGGTGAACTGCTTCAAAGCCTCTCTCACGTCATCACCTCCTTGTTCTCCAAAATCATGTTGTCTATCATAAACTGTCAGCTCATGAGGTACCTTGAGAACCACAAGATGATTAGTGACCGCCAATACGGTTTTTGTTGTGTTCGATCAGCTGGTGATCTCCTTGTCTACCTGACTCATAGATGGACGAAGGCAGTAGAGTCCAATGGCGAGGCGTTGGCTGTTAGTTTGGGAATAGCGAAGGCCTTCAATCGGGTCTGGCACAAAGCGCTTGTTTCGAAGCTTCCTTCCCATGGGCTTCCTGAGAAATTGTGCAATTGGATCAACAGTTTCCAAAGTTGCTAGTCGGAGCATCAAGGTAGACGGTGGTAGTAATAGACGGTGTATGCTCTGATTAAAATCCTAATAACGCTGGTGTTCCACAAGGATGCGTGATATCACCAACGCTGTTTCGTCTGCATATCAATGATATGTTGCAAATCGGTAAAGTTCATTGCTATGCAGAAGACAAAACTGGAGATGCCTTATACACCATCATTGCTAATATTTCTCGCGAAAACGTCGACAGATAAAGGTACAACTTTGTGTCTGAAGTCGAGTCTTTGTTGAACAAATTCTTAGATTGGGGGCGACTAAACCTAGTCCAGTTCAACCCCCAGAAGACAAACGTTTGCGCTTTTACCGCTAAAAAGAACCCCTTTGTCGTATCTCTTCAGTTTCAAGGCACTGCCCTTGTTGTCTCAGTTAGCATCGGAATCCTCGGCATATCAAATAATGTGCAGTTGTCACTTGGAGGGGAAGGTCAAATTAGCCCCTAAAAAACTTGGCGTAATCAGCAGGTAAAGTAAAAAGTAAAGTTACAGCCTATATACGTCCCACTGCTGGACACAGGCCTCCTCTCATTTCTGAGAGGGTTTAAGGCAAGGAATAGTCCGCCGCGCCGCCCCAATGCGTGTTGGCGAACTTTCA